TTGTCGCAGAAGTCAACCGGAACGTGGAAAACGCAGAATTCGCTGCTATGACTGGTGAGCAATTCAAATGCTTAATTTTCGTAAGTGCTCTAAAAGATGATGACTGTATTGCGGTACGAACCCGTGTACTGAAGAAAATGAAGATCGTATCGGATACAACTACGATTGACCGACTGGAGGAGTGCAACGATTACTCGGAATTACAGTCTCACACTGAGATGATGGCAAAGGCCAGGTACAGATCCATGCGATGTAGAGGAATGAGAACCCGCAAGTCAACGCGATGCAGCGAGGCGAAAAGCTGTAGTCATCCACTGATCAGAAACCCAAAACATCTTCTTTGTATAAACTGCGGAGCAAGGACCCACAGGACCAGAAGATGCGATCAGACGACACATGAATGCAATTATTGTAAGAAACGCGGACATCTGGAGAAATACTGTTTGCGTGAACTATTTGTCGATGAAGCCAAGGACGTCCGTCATGTCGCCACCTCACCACCTAAGGAGACCAAGGCATGCCGCAACGTGTAAATCAACGGTATGATTATCAAGATACGACTAGACTGTGGAGCCGAAGTCATTCTTGTCGATCACGACACATGGATCAAGATTGGCCGACCGAAACTAGAAAAACCGGAACATAATCTGACTGCTGCCAATGGGACCAGCATCAAATGCCATTGACAATGCACATGTGAATACGTGCTAAATGGCAACACCGTGAAAGGCACAGCATATGTCGTGGATGGACCACCTCTATTCGGAATGGATTGGAGAAGCGACCGTGCCCTTTACAATATGATCATCCGCTGTTACGATGCCAATACCGTGGTATCTATGAAAGATGCACTCGATAAAGAGTGAACTCCGCTGACAAAGATGCTGCAGGGAAAATTTGCGGAGGTGTTTCAGCCCGGTTTAGGATACTGCACGAAGATGAAGGCGTCCCTCGTACTCAAGGAAGATACAAATAAGACATTTCGCAAGGGCAGATCAGTACCGTATGCAGCTCTTCCTGCTGTCTCCGCCGAACTGGAGCGACAAGTAGACATTGGAGTTCTATCCCCAACTACTCATTCCGAATGGGCTGCACCTATTGTTTGTGTTAAGAAATCTAACGGAAAACTTCGTATATACGCCGACTTTTTAACTGGGCTGAACGACGCGTTGGAACCACACGAGTACCCCTCTACCCCCGAAGATGTTGTCACTAAATTGAATGGGGGACTTTTCTTTACTGCGCTCGACTTCAGCGAAGCGTGCTTGCAAGTGGAAGTTGACGATGATGCCAAGCGACTGCTTGTCATCAACACTCATAAAGGATTCTTCCACTACAACCGATTATCCCCTGAAGTCAAGACAGCTCCAGGCATTTTCAAGCAGCTGATGGATAGTATGATCGCAGATATAGCAGTAATTGATGCATACATAGATGACATAGTTATTACGGGGTCGTCGGTTGATGAACACATCAAACACCTCATTGCTGCTCTGCGCCGTGTCATGGATTATGGATTTCGACTAGGTATTGAGAAATGCGCCTTTTTACAACGTGAAATAAAATATCTTGGGATGGTCGTTGTTGAATATGGACGTCGAATGGATACAGTGAAAATTCGCGCGATTGGAAAGATGCCTGCCCCTCACTTATCACAGTGCATTCATTTCTCGGCATGATAAATTATCACGGAGGATTTGTCTCGGAGATGTGACTATTAGGGCTCCTCTTAATAATCTGCTTCAGAAGAATATTGAGTATGAGTGGAATGAGGAGTGTCAAAAGTTATTTGAACGAGCGAATGCAATCCTAGCATCCGATTTATTGCTGACACAATACAATCCATCCTTACCGATCATAGTAGCCGCCGATGCGTCCAATTACGGCATTGGAGCCGTCGCCTTGCATCGTTTCCAAGACGGATCCGAGAAGGCCGTTCTGTCACGCCAGCGCACTCTCAACACTTCACAGAAGAACTACAGCCAGATTGAAAAAGAGCCTCTTGGACTAATCCTTGCTGCCACAAAGTTTCATCGCTACATACATGGCCGTTTACACTTTGACCGACCACAAACATCTTCTGTCCATGTTTGGATACAAAAGCGGAGTACCGGTGTAAACTGCAAATCGACTACAAAGATGGGCCACTCTCCTTTTAGGATACGACATTAATATCCAGTACAGGAATACTGTAAATTATGAACAAGCGGACGCTTTCTCCCTACTGATTGCAGCTCACCCAAAAGAACACGAAGACGTTGTCATCGCAGGACTAGACGCCGAAATGCGAATTGACCTGATAGATCAAAGCCGTCAGTTACCGCTTACTATTCAAGAAGTAGCTGCATTCTACAACGAAGAGGCCTACTATCAATCACAGATAACTGTACACTCATGGGAAATCGCCTTAACATTCCGTGCAAGCTCCGACGGAGAGTGCTCTACAGCCTGCACAATGCGTATCCTGGAGTTGTTCGTATGAAGGTGCTTGCCCACAGTCACGTCTATTGGCCAAACATCGATAGAGGTATCGAACTTCTCGTTCGCTCCTGCGTTAGTTGTGCTGCTGCTTCAAAAAACCCAATCAAAACGGACTTACATTCTTGGGAAGCCAACTAAACGTGGAGCCGCATTCACGTCGACTTCGCTGGTAGTGAATGGGCGCACTTGTATCGTCGTTGTGGACGCCTTCTCAAGATGTCCAGAAATCATCAAGATGCTCAACATTACGACTGGTGGAACGATCAATCAGCTCGAAACACTTTCCAGTCGTTACGGAAATCCAGAAGTACTTGTGTTCGACAACGGTTCCCAATTCACATTATTTGATTCTCGCGCATTCTGCGACTCCCGAGGAATCAAACACACTCAAACACCACTTTTTCATCCGCAGTCAAATGGACAAGCCGAGAGATTTGTAG